CAAAAATAGATATCGAAAACGCCCCCGTTCATCGGCCAAAACACAACAAGGGTAAGGAAAAATAACATGCGAAGGTATGAACTTTACCTTTCAAAATATAAATGCTTCGAAAAATGGCTACGAGTTGCTTGTAATTTTTTGCTTGGTATTTCGTATATCCTCTTGTGTGTTACAATAGTGAGTTACAATGGCTATTTATAATGCTTGTGGATCCTATCTTTAGGAGTTTAAATAATAGTAGAATTCTATCCTATTTTTAGGAGTTTGAATCCTAGTAGGACGAAAAGGTGTGTCGACAGCTCGTTTGAAATGTTCACCACATACTTGTTCTTAAATTCTTCCAGGAAGAATTGCCATGTCACTTGCTCCGGTGGTGCATACAACGTAGTATTTGACCACCAAACTCGAGTTGATCCTCTAAGAAAAAATACAACTCCATCCAACTTTTCTGGATCCGAAGAGTGAATATTTTCGAGCATTATTATAACATCATTTAACCATAAGTCGACCTCCATAAGACCTTCACCCTCTTCTCCCCAGAACTCTGGAGCTCCCAAGCTCTTCAGCTCTTTTAGGATCAACATTCTCGGTGTTAGAGGAACAAGATGAGGCGGAGGATGTTGAAAACAAGTCAACATAGTGTTGAGAGCTTGCATAAAAGCTCTAAAATCTAGTACCGGCATCCCTTGATGTGCAGGTGCACTAGCATTTTCATATGGAACCGGTTGCTCACTATTAGCTTATTAACTTTCACTACCAGTTACTTCTCTCATCTCTTATTCCCCCTCTCTATGAGAGTTAGAGGATTCTGACATCTATTAGAACAAACATAGTAATAACATTTCAATTAGTAAGGAGTGTCATCAATTACAATTTAATGACACCATATCAGCAACCTTGACAATCTTAATGGCATGTAATCCCCTTTTCTCATTTCAATTGAACTCAGTTTCAGCTGAGAATCGGCTAAACATGTAGCTTTGATACCAATAAATGTAACACCCATATCTTGTATACCTTTCCATACACGAGATACAGAGGCCACATTACTTTATAAAAATGTTTGTCATTTGAAAACCCGTAAAAATTTGTTTCAATTTTATCAACTAAAAAATATGATATTTTTGAAAGCAACATACTAAAACTATCACTTAATTACATTCCAAAATATTTACCATAGTTTAATTACATGCCAATTAAGTTCTTAAATTGAATAAGATTGTCATAATATTAATGATGAGTCAACCTTTAATTGATGAAAGTTGTTGCTACTGCTACACTCCTTACGCACTAATCTTTGTCTTTACCTACACGTGAAATAAACACGTTAAGTATACTTAGTGAGACATAAAACTGCAAGGACATTACAATTATACGGCAATATCTTATAAATACTGAATAATAATTTAATTTCATTATTCATAAGGACCAGTTAAAACCTCCTCAGTTAAACCATAATTCTTGCATAACATCATGCAAATTATTCTTAGTATGTTCATCATACTTATCCTTTTTATATTTTCCCCTTTATTCTTTATTTTCCCTGCGTACATTAAATGTGGAAGTACTATACATGTATTGCACCAAGGTGCTAATTGATCACGTATCTTTTATAATTATTATGACGGCACCTTAAATACTGTTAATACATCTTTTTGTATTTTCATTTGGGTATCCTTTCATGCCCATTATGCTCTGTTTATGTTTTCCTTTATAACATCTCTTCATACTAGTTATGCATTGTTGTACATTATATATATAAATATATATATCATCCTTTCATATCACTTATATACCATTTATATCACATTACATTATAATTCCTTTATTCTTTTACTTCAAAGTATTTAGCTTTTCATTTAACTTGCATATTTGACACTTTTCTGTCAAATACACAACTAATCGATTATTTTTTACTCAACAATGTTTAACTGTTCACCTAACTGGCATAATTGACACTTTTCTGCAATTGCACAGTTAGGCTAATATTCTTTTACTCAATGGTATTTAACTGTTTATCTAACTGTCATAATTGACACCTTTCTGCCAATTGCACAGTTAGACTATTATTCTTTTACTCAATGGCATTTAACCGTTTTTCTAACTGGCATAATTGACACCTTTCTGCCAATTGCAAAGTTAGGCTATTATTCTTTTACTCAATGGTATTTAATTGTTCATCTAACTGGCATAATTGACACCTTTCTGCCAATTGCACAGTTAGGCCTCAAAGGCACTTAGCCTTTTATCTAACTGGCATAAATGACACATTTCTGTCAAATGCACAGTTAGGCTTCAAAGGCACTTAGCCTTTCATCTAACTGGCATAAATGACACCTTTCTGTCAAATGCACAATTAGGCAATTATTCTTTTACTCAACGGTATTTAACCGTTCATCTAACTGGCATAATTGACATCTTTCTGCTAATTATACAGTTAGGCTATTACTATTTTACTCAACGATATTTAACCGTTAATATAATTGACATAATTGACACCTTTCTACCAATTGCACAGTTAGGCCTCAAAGGCACATAGTCTTTTATCTAACTAGCATAAATGACACCTTTCTGTCAAATGCAAGTTAGGCTCAAAGGCACTTAGCCTTTCATCTAACTAGCATAAATGACACCTTTCTGTCAAATGCACAGTTAGGCTATTATTCTTTTACTCAACGGTATTTAACCGTTCATCTAATTGGCATAATTGACATCTTTCTGCCAATGCACAGTTAGGCCTCAAAGGCACTTATCCTTTCCTCTAACTGGCATAAATGACACCTTTCTGTCAAATGCACAGTTGCTATTATTCTTTTGCTTTAGAGCAGCCTCTACTATAATAGTCATTCAATATCAATTAACCTCTTCAATCATTATACATTCTATGATTTATACCCATAATACCAATGCATTAATACCACAATCTTACTATAATTTACATGGATTACTCATCCACTACAATTACGACAATTCACTTTCTTATTAAAACTTCTGACAATTTCACATATATTTCCCATACGAAAATTCGTACAATTGATATTAATTTCTTATTTCGCACACATAGTGGCCATACAGAAATTCATACACTTAGTATAAATTTCTTAATATTTTAGCACACAAAGTACCCAATACGGAAATTCATACACTTAGTATGAATTTCTTAACATTTTGCACACTTAGTGTCATTTGGTAATAAACATACATACATTAATAATTTCTATACTATTACTATTGTAGCATGTACGTACATAATTAAATGCACTCACCTGACTTTCCTTGCTATATCCAAAACGTAAGGCTGATTACTCCAGTATTTTTCCTTCACCCTTAGTTTTGTTCTTCTCCGAAGCTTGGTTCCAATCTACTCAAGCATCCATTAAAGCATGTATCATACCCAAATGTTAGTATACTCCTTAACCTTGTACTTTAACAATATTCAAAATATCATTATCTAATTTCTATAACAATTTTAACCTTATAGGTGGTTTCAAGCTCAATAGTATCGGTACCACTACCCTGGTACCGATACTTCTATAATGTGGTATCGATACCTCCTTTTGGTATCGATACCAATTTTAGTTTCGATGTTGCCTGTTATCGATACCCTTACCATGGTATCGATACTACCATACTATGGTACCGATACCCCTTCTGGTATTGATACCAATTTTAGATTCAATGTTTTCCTGGTATCGATGACCTTACCATGGTATCGATGCTACCTAGTTGGTATGATACTGATTGAATCAGTATCGATACTACTGACCTATTTCCTCACATTTTAGCCTATAGTATCAGTATTGTTCTATCAGTATCGATACCCTTGCCCAGATTTTCTAGTTTTCAACCCGATTTTTACATAAATTGGGTCAAATTTTGTTATACTTACACCATACAATACTATCAAACTCTTCTTTAATTAACCAAACTATTTTTTCTTCATTTTGTTTCTTAAAACATCTAACATCATCCAAGATCATTCAATTCTAAGAATCACACCACTTTTTCTGATGTGTTCTTAATCCTATCCAATGCTTCTTATCTCTCATATACCCCTTTGACAAGTCAAATCTACCAGTAAACATCCATAAACACTCCTATTTTCACATATCACTTACAAACCCATTTTCTTCAATCCCTAATATCTCATTCATAACTTAGTTTTAATCAAATATATCATTTCTTTAATCTTACATAACACTTAAGTTTGCAAGAACCAACCATAATCGAAAGGAAACACTAACCAATTAAAATTTTACCTTTGCTATGAGGGAGAGATATTTCCGGGAAGAAGAAGAAAAGAGAGAGATGGTCTTTTTCTCCCTAAACTCCCTTTTCCCCTTTCTTTAATACTTTCTAGAAACTGAATTTAAAATTCATTTTCCCCTTAAAGGACCAAAATGTCCTCTTAATTCATCTATTGCTACAATTTAGTTCAAAACACTATTCCAAATCATTTTCTCATCTTTTACCAATTATTCAAATAAATCTTAAATTTGTAATTTTTTTAGTTTAGTCTCCGACCTAATATTTAGGGTATTACAGTATTTCTAACAGAAGGATTATGACGTCAAGATAGTGCTTGAAAATATTATAATGTCTAACTCAGACGATTGTCAACATTTTAAAAGAAAATTGGGAGATTGGAACATATGAATTGTTGGATAATCATTTTGTAACTTTTAATTGTCGGAAGATTCAATAAAATAGCGTCTTATAGTCGAATAACCATTTTGTAAATTTTAATTATCGAATGACTCAACAAAGTTGCACGCCCAATAGCTGAAGTACCATTTGTATACTTTACCCAAAATAATATTATTTTTTCAATAAAAACACACTAAGAATAGGTAAAATTTTATTTATTCAAGTAAAACATGAAGGAACTTAGACAAGACTTTCTAAAACGGAACACAAAATTAATTAAAATAAATAGAAACACGACACAGAGTGATTGCAGTTTCACAGACGACCAAGAGAAAGTTGTTTTATTTGGGTAATACAGGCATCGGCTCTTTCTCAACTCCCCATTAATGGCAATCGAATACCTTGATAACTCATCAAGACAGTTTCATTGGCTGCGGTTTCCTGGGAAATCCAATCACCAAAACACAATATTGTTTTAAATCAGCTAGCCTAGGTGGTTTTCTTTGGTGGGGTATTGCCAGTTTTCCAAGTGAAACTGGTTAAAAAATCTGGAATAGAAGCCCCTGCAACTTCATGGATTGGGATCGCATCTGAAATTTCTTTCAGATCCTCTTTTGTCAGCTTCACTTTCATCGATTCTATGTTGCTATCTAGATTTTTTATCTTGGTTGTTCCTGCACAAGTGAAAAAGTAAGTGTTAGACTATGATCCTTTTTGGTTCAAGATTTTTCTGGTCATTTAATCCTAGTTGAATATATCTGCATGTTGTTATGTTATTCTGACTCTTCATTTTCTTTAAGTTTTCTAAACTTACATGAAAATAGTGGGACAAATTCGCACATAATCATCTCAGTGTCCAACACTTGTACTAAAATCCTGGTAACATAGCATGTCCATGTTTGACACCACGGATTCGAAGTTAAAAATGATTGAATGTGACTTACCAGGAATAGGGACAACATCATCCCCTTGATGAAGAACCCAGGCAAGTGCAAGTTGTGCTGTTGTACATCCATACTTTTCAGCCAACTTCTCTACTTTCAAATATAAGATCCTGTTTTTTTCCAAGTTTTCTCCTTGAAACCTTGGGAATAATGTCTTTAAAAAGTAGACATTTGTAAGCAGTTAATCAAACTATTTGACATTGTACAAGATTCTAAAACAGAAAAAGGGGAAATGAAAAAAAAACATAGAATAAAATTCGAATATATGTATAGAATTATAGATATGACCTATGAGGGTATGATCCTCCATTTAAATGAAAAAAAAAAGGAACTTAGAAGAAAAATGGAGTGTATTTGTGTCAAACAAATATTTATATCGAGCACTCACAAAACACTTAGTAAAGTGTAGGTTAAAGCCACAATAAGGTGAGTTTCCATACCAGATTACTATTTTCAGAGATAGCCTCGTTTGCTTTTCCGGCAAAGAAACCAGCACCAAGGGGACAATATGGAACAATCCCAATTCCAAGTTCCCTACATTGTTGAGTATATGAAAAGCTTTAAAATATTTGAATATTTCCATATTGAACACATATCCATATCCGAATCCGGATAACATTAAAGTTTTGATGATTAAGGTAGAAGAAAAACCTGCAAAGGGGAACTATTTCTTCCTCAACATCACGAGTCCAGAGTGACCACTCGATTTGCAAAGCAGTTATGGGATGAACAGCATGTGCCCTCCTTACGGTGTCGGGGCTAGCTTCAGATATACCGATATACTTTATTTTTCCTTCTTCCACCAACTTCTTCAGTTCTTCCATCTATCATATATAAAATAAATAGAAATATAAGTATTCGAATACGTATCATACCCAAGTATTCGAATAAGTATCATACCCAAGTATTCGAATAAGTATCATACGCAATACTTACAGTATCCTCTATAGGAGTGTTGGTGTCAACTCTGATTATATAGTAAAGATCAATGTAATCCACGCCAAGTCGTTTAAGGCTACCCTCAATGGAAGAACGCACATATTCAGGAGTGCCATTGACAACGAGGCCATGTGGTCCCATGCTTACGATGCCGAATTTCGTAGCCAACTGCACCTTCTCTCGCGGTAGATGCTTCAATGCCTGCAAAAAAAACGGTTTCCCAAATTCTTTAGTTAAAATCTGAATTTTTTTTATTTAATAATCTATTTTAGTGATAGTATTCATCTTAAAAAAAAATTTGTGTCAGTATCATTCAAAAAATTTATTTTGTTAATGTATGCATCCATCTTAAAAAATATTTGTGTAAATTACAAGTTTAGTACTAAACTATCATTTTTGCTCTATTTTGGTTATTAATTTTTTTTTTGCTTCAAAATCATACATAGTGTTATGTTTTAATTTCATTCCGAACACCCACCGTTAAAACTTTAACAGTGATAATGATGTGTTATCATGAGGTAATTATAATTAAAAAATATCACGTTCATAATTCTGTTACCTTTTAAACTATGAGTGACAAAAATAAAATCAAAATATAATATTATATATGATTTTAAAATATAATAATTGCGTGATAAAAACGGAATAAATGTAATAATTAAAATATTATATGTATAATCTACTTAAAATATTTCTAAATCTACCACTGTATTTAACTACCCAGGAATAACAAGGAAGACATAAAACCGTTCAGATTCGATATACTAAGAAAACTCTCTCTCACGCATATCGTCGAACGTCTAGTAAACATGAGTGTTGTACTAAAAGATTGTTTACCTTCCCGACCAGGACTTCGTTAGTTGTACGGCCATACATGTCGGCTGTATCGAAGAAAGTGATTCCTCTTTCGAATGCGTGCTTAATGATAGATATGCCAACTTCATCCGACACCGAACCATGGTAAAATCCTGACAGACGCATACATCCAAAACCCAACTTCGAAACCTGCAAGCAAGAATAATGAGCGGTTTTTAATACCGTGTTCTTATTCTAATATGTGTTTATATGATGATATAAAGAAGAACAGAATCTAGACCTCGAGTCCTTGAGTTCCAAGTTTCACACGAGGAATATGAATAGCCATCTTTTGTTTCCTTCTCTGTTATCTGAGTTTTGCAGTGGAGGATTTCCTGATTATTTAACAACAGAAAACTTTCCATTAAAAATTATTTGTCAACTTTGTGACGCCACTAAACATGTCAGCCCATACGTACTATTTTTGACTAATTCCGTAACTGAACAATATGCATTTAAAAAATAATTAAATATTTGAAAATGAGGCAAAGAATGGTAAAAAAAAAAAGTGTTAAATGTTCTTGTAATGTGCTACCCGAGAAACACACACTAACGTTGGAAGACTAAATATTGTTTCAAATTTTTGCTAAGCGCCAATGGAAATTACTCCCATTATTCAAATACGAATTAAACATGTTACTTTAATTACTTATAATATTTCGTATATGAAAATTACTAAAAAAAACTTTATTTAAAATTTACAATTTATTTATTAAAACTAATTTAAATAATCACCTAAAATCATAATATAATATTTTAATATTAAATTTAAATTTGATTTTAAGCTGTAACTAGACAATTCAATACGATTTCATATTAAAGTAAAACTGCCTAATTCAAAAATCAACCAATTAACTTTTAAAGCATAATTTAATAAAATATTATTTGTTCATATTACTACTTTTATCTATTATTAACTTTATTAAAGTTGTTCTAATTTACTATTACAAACTAGTTTATAACTAATTTATTAGGGTAATCAAAACATTCATAATATATATGACACTAAGAAGCCAAAATAACATCATAGATGTCTTACTAGTACTGTATGTTGGTATGATTTCCCAAAAAATGATGCTCGTGTTGCTCCTCACTTCACGCCCTTATCCTTTTCTTTACCTACACGTAAAATCATCACACGCTAAATAATACTTGGTGAGACATTATAACTCAAATAAAATAATTTAAAATATGAAAACGATATAAATACTCTGTATAATATACTTCGTCATAAAAATAATTAAACTTGTAAAATCAATTCAATAAATATCATCTTCTTATCACATAACCTTAAAACCAATGTGTCATATATAAATAATCATGGCAACCAATTGCCAAATCGAAATCATCAGTAAAATACTACTTTTATTTAATTTCATATCCAATTATTATATCCAATAAGTGCCAAACTATGCCTTTTTCTTTTAAAATAAGTGCCAACGTTTTTTTTCATTAGAGTGTCTAATTTTATAAACGTTACTATTTTAAGTGCTCAGACCGATAATGATATTAGTTTTCCCTATCACAATCTCATAATTCTAAAATTTTTATATAAAATTAAAAAATAAAATTATATATTTTTCTAAAAATAAAATACATAAATTTCAAAATAACCCCTAAACTTTAAAAATCTTAATTTCAACCTCTAAACCCGCACCGACCGCCATCCTTTGTCGTCGAAGAAGCTCCACCCGACCTCTCCTCCCCTCCCCTCAGTGACCAAAACCCCTATGAAATCGTGACCGATCGACTACAATCGACGTTTTAAATTCCGCAAACCCTATGATGAAAATTGTGATCCCACACGATTCTGATGGTAAATCGGTGACAAATACAACAACATATAACTATGGTGATGACAAGGACTATGTCGCGACGGTAGTTGTGGCCGGAAATGGCGACGATGTCGAATTAAAGTTAGGATTTGAGATTTTATGATTGTTTTATAATATAAGAAAAGCATAGTTTTTTATAAATATAATACTTTTTTTAATATGTTTTTTTCAAAAATAAATTTTAAAATTATCAGGTTGTGACACATGTTACATAATGGTCAAAATTAACGGCGTTGATGGCTCGGGCACCTAAAGTACTAACGTTTGTAATTTTAGGTCCCGGATGGACAAAAAAATAGGCATTTATTTAGCACAAAAGATATAATTTGGGCATTAAACCTTTTAATTTTGGTTCTCAAATTAATTGAAAGAGTTTGCTAGGCCCCAGGGTGTAACTAGGGGTGAGAGTTCGATCGAGTCGAGTCAAAAAATTTTAAATTATTCGAGTTGATGAGTCTTATTTTACAGCTCGGAGTTGACTTGAAATTTTTTTCGAGTCGAGTCTAGTCGAGTTTATAAAATTCGAGTCGATTCGAGTCGAATTTTCGAGTTTGTGTTTAAATTTAATTATCAATATTTATAATATTATGATATTATTTGATTTCAATTTAAATAGTTTTTTATGATCATATACAATACATATATATATAATAATCCATTCCTATGTGATTTTTGATTAAAAAAAATACAATACATATATATTTATTTCATGTGTGATATACATATATCATACAGAATTGAGGAACATGACTCAAACTTGAAAATTCATCCACTAATTACTAAAAATTTCGAGTTATTCGAGTTGTATTTTACAACTCTATTTGAACTTGAATTTTTTTCTAGTCGAGTTTATAAAATTAAAACTCAAAGTCATTTGAGTCGAGTTTTTTCGAATTGAGTCGAGTCGAAAAAATCGATTTTTCGAGTCGAGTAGAGTTTTGCTCACCCCTATGTGTAACCCACCTATTTTGAAGAAGTTTGGGAAAATCATTCCCTCGATCCTCAAACTTTCTGCATTAATTTGATTCTGATCATTTTACTATTGTTGATTATTTAACTTAGTCATTCAATTTTATTTTTATTTTAGATTGGTCCTTTTTTATATTTATCCTAATTTATTTTAATTTGCGTTTAGCCTTTAATTTTAGCCTTCAATCTAACTTACCTTTTTTTTTATTCTCAGGTTTCGTTTGGTTAAGGTCTATTCTGATCAAGGCCCTTAAATTTTTTAAAAATTTATTGTATTTTATTTGGTTATCATTTTTATTTATCTTTTCTCTTCTAATCATTTTAATTTTGAGATTTATGGTCGTTTTTTTTTGTTCTTTCTCATTTTTAAAGTATAAGCAGGATTTTTTTGGGATCTCAAATTAAATCATTTTATTTTATTTTCAGGACAACACCACAATCCTTCGCTTTCGATTCGCTTTGATCACGAGATTTATCACGATCTAAGCGACACCATTTATACAACATATATATTCAAAGCATACGTGTTGTATAAATGATGTCGCTTTGAATATATTAACATATACAATACCGAAAGGGGGTTGTGAGGTGCTAATCCTTCTGTAACACCCCAACTCGTACCCGACCCGGATACGAGTCCGAGATGTCACATTGACATTTCAAAACCTTTACTCTTGTAAAATAACTAAACATTTGAACATGTATTAAGAAAATACGATCATATACTGTTCAATTGTGTTTGGTATGAAATTTTGAGATAAAAATATATTTATGAACAGTGACATGAATAGTGCTACAGTATATCGATGAACCAAAATTTCGAAGCAAAATTGTGCATTGATGCACTGCTATAGTGCATTGATGCACTGTTATAGTGACTTTCGTAAAACGTTCATAAAACTCGTAAAAATTTAACCGTTCATTACTATACAATTATCATTTACATAACACGTTTAAAACATTACAAAACTCAATCGTATGACTTTTCAAAACCAATTAGAACATATCGGATTTAATCCTTTATTTACATGCCAACCACTTTTCTTATTACAAAATACATACTATACATTTCTTTTCTGATCTGATCTTTGGAAAGGAGAATTGGACTGTCTTGCATAACTTTTATCAATCTTCCTCTTCTCGGAACCTAAGTGTAAAACAATCACACGCTAAGTCATTAACTTAATGAGGCATGAAAACATATGATATTACTCTACTCATATTAATGCATAAACAATTAATACTATCATATCATATAAAAGCATATACCATTTATAATTCTTATCAGTACTCATATTATTATCACTAATTCCTTTATATCATGTAAGCATATACTGAACCTTTCTATACTCACCATCGGGCATCCATATCATTTTACAACAGAGCACACATAATATCATATCAAGTTATTTATTGTCTTTAAAGATCATGTATTAGCCCATGTATACTTTTGAGAACTAAGGTATGTGAGTACATTGAGGTTTTGCACCACTATGCTGTCACCACATCTCGTATAAATGTCCCAAAGGACCTATCCAGAGGTCATAAAGAACCTCGGCAATTGTCCATAGGTCCCAAAGAACCTAGGTAAACTGTCCATATGTTCCTTAGAACAAAGGTATACTGTCAATATGTCCCGAAAGACATAGGTAATTCTGTCCATATGTTCCGTAGAACATAGGTATACTATCCATATGTCCCGAAAGACATAGGTAATTATGTCCATATGTTTCGTAAAACATAGGTATACTATCCATATGTCCCGAAAGACATAGGTAATTCTGTCCATATGTTCCGTAGAACATAGGTATACTGTCCATATATCCCGAAAGACATAGGTAATTATGTCCATATGTTCCGTAGAACATAGGTATACTATCCATATGTCCCAAAAAAATAGGTAATTCCTCGACTCTTGGCATGCTAACTATATCACTAGCTCACATATTACATAACATGGGCATTATCATTTATAACATTTTTGTATTCATATCATTTTTCTTATAATTGCATGTTCCTTCTATTCTGTCACATACCACATTTATGTGTAAACATATATCTCATATGAATAACTCATAACTCTTTTATTTCGTATCTTCTTATCATTTATCATATCTCCTTATCATGTATTTCATGTCACATATCTTATATCATTTCTCATATTCATATATATATATATATATATGTGTGTGTGTGTGTGTGTGTGTGTGTGTGTGTTCACTTTCACATATCACATATTCCTATATACACTTTCATGTCATTCATTTCATTCTCTATATCCTTATCGCATAGCTTCTTATTTCTCATGTTCTAATGTAAGCACATATATCATGTCTTGTTTACTTATGTTCACATATTCACATCACTTATTCATATCATCTCTCTTTTAATCCCATATTTCCCCTTTTCTGTCACATATCACATGTGCACATAATCAAAAATTTTACTTTTATATAATTCATGTCACTTATGTTCACATAGCTTGTATCACTTTGCATGGTTTCACATAAACATATGTATACATCACATA